TTACCTTTTTCCAGCACTGGGCGGGGAACTCTCTGCCTCCTCTCCTCCTCCGATCCGCCCCGTCGGCTGAATGCGCACGCGCGGCAAGAGCTGCGCGCGCATTCAGCCGGTCGCATAGGAAAGCATTCATAATGCTTTCCTATGGACGCTTGCATGCTCTCACTGTGATTTTCACAGTGAGAATCACGCAAGCGCCTCTAGCGGCTGTCAATGAGACAGCCACTAGAGCATTTGGAGGAAGGCTTAACCCATTGATAAACATATTTATAAAAAAAATGGGTTAACCCTAGCTGGACCTGGCACCCAGACCACTTCATTAAGCTGAAGTGGTCTGGGTGCCTAGAGTGGTCCTTTAATTAGATCTGGTTGAATAAATTAATTGCCCTTTAATTTACCTATAATTTATGTACCAATATAACTTTATTAAACCGAAGTGACTCTAGTGTCTACTGTTTAAGTAACTCCAATATTAAACTGTCTTGAATGCTAGTTATTTTCATGATTTAGTGCCAATTGCCTGTTACTATTTCACAAGAAGATTTGTGGTTTGTTTACAGTAAATTGGCAGTTGCCAAATTTATGCAAAAATAAGTAGCCATGGAAAAGTAGTTAGATAGTATTATAGGTTGAAAAAAGACTAAAGTCTATCAAGTTCAACTGGATTTTTTTTTCAACTGTGTTATTAAGGTTATATGTAGAAATTTGGGTACTACTTCACTGTCAACTAACTTTTGTCACTTCACATGATGGACATCATTTTACAAATGGAAGAAACTATTTGAGTGACCTTGAACATCTTAATGATGGCCACTATAGTGCAAACTAGTTTATTGAGGGATCTATTTATTTTTTTATTTTTTGTGCTGTGACCTAACTGCTGGAGATTAATGACCCATGGCCTGCATTGTGCTGAGTGTTTTTTGATTGTAGCTATGATGATGGATGGTACTGAAGGATTTCTTTGCTATGCTACTTTCTATTATACGCCAAGGAACCATTGTTCTATCATACATTTTGCACCTTTCATGGCACTGCAGTTATTTCTGGATCACATGTCCCATGATTCTCAGCCAACCATCTGTTAACCCTCAGGTAGGACCAGGAAAATGGGGAATTTCCACAAACATCTCCTTTTCTGTATGACATTCAATTTGGTATGTGAATGGTCAGACAGTGAAATTTATTTGTGAATACTATTTGTGATGACTCAAATGAAATAAAGACATGTTAAAGGTACACCTTTGTGTCAGGAACACAAACTTGAATCAATGCATCTCTATAGGGAACCTCAGCGCCTCCATTCAGAGCACACTGTGCAGCTCTGGACTAAGAAGCTCTTCTATTGACTATCTGAGTGACTGCCACTAGAGGTGTTACAAGCCAGCCGTATAAATACTACCTTTTCTCTGAAGAGGCAATGTTTACAGTGCTAACATGGCATGGATATGCTGTAGACACCAGGGCAGATTAAGAGCCACTGGGCCTGGTGCAGACAATTATGATGGGCTTAATTACTGAATTTTATCAACCGAAAACACTAAAACGGTTTTACCTCCCAAGCGTCATATATCTGGTGGAGATAATGCTGGAGGGAAACTCACAGGATATAACTATCAGAAAACACATACCCTATGCTAATCTCCCGCTTTCATCTTTCAAGGAAATCCATACCCCCTAACAGCAGTGTCCTGTGAAGCAGGATGTCGGTGGGAGTCTGGTGACGCAAATCACGTAACCAGAACATGCCCAAAAAGGGGAAGTGTCTGCCCAAAGAATTTGTTGGTCAGCCTGGCATGAATGCATGTCAAGCTACCTGCCAATCAGGCTGGCAAGCTAAGGGCATATTTTACAGACAGCAACCTGAGCATAAATGCATCTAATGATGGGCTCGCTCCACACTTTTTTTTAAGGACTGTCCCCTAGCACTCACTTGTCCGCTCCTCTACTTACATTCTTGCTAGCAGGCAGAATGCTGCGGCAGAGAAAAGGTGTATGTAGTAAGTGTAGAACAAAGGGAACATGCCACAATGTTAGAGACTGAAGTACAAGAGCACTTGCATAGAGCGCAAAGTCAGCTTTATGTTAACTTATTTCATTGTCAGCCATTCTACACACATTTTGTTCTCCTACATCCCTCTTAAGTTTCCATACTTAAGGAAGAGCATGTGAAGAGTAGTAACAAAAAATCAGAGGGCCTATTTCATGGGATGGGCCTGGAGCTGCAGCTTCATCAGCCACTATGTTAATCCAGCACTAATAGACACCAGAACGACTACATTAAGTTGTAGTTGCTCTGGTGACTTTAGTGGCCCTTTAAGGATTCTTTGGGACTCATTGCCATTGAAGCTTTCATTGATTGATAGCAATATATGGTTTCATTGATTAAACGGTAAGATTTTGGGGACATTACCATGATCACTTTTAATTTACATAATGCCAAACTTGTTTTGTAATATTTCAATTCATGTTTGTTTACCCACTGTACTGATTAATAATTATACTGGCCTACATTTTTCTTCCAAACTAGAGTGCATCTCCCAACATTTTAAATGGTTAAGGAGGGACACTTTGAATTTAAGCGTGTGAGCAAAGTGTGGCCATTGGCAGAGCTGTTTTGAGAAATTTAGGTGACTTAGTAATTACAATTTATTTAACTAAAATGTAATTTTTTATAATTCTTTATTTTTGCAGTACATTGCATAAACCATATATTGAACAGTACTTTGATGTACAGAGGTTCCAATGAATAACATAGTATGGGTAAAAAACATTGAGTAACAGCACCAGTTTTTTAACTTTTATACATGCTGTGAACGTGGGCCTAGGTCCTACTGTAGAGGATAGAGCCTGTCATGTGTGTTTAGAGGTGTAGTTCACTCATTCGGTCCTTGCTCTGCTGTCCCGTGTTGCTGGGGGGCTAAATAAGAGGTAGTATGTCAGTGGTTTTGGCACACGTGAGTTTAAAGAGTTTTAAAATTAGGGTGCTATGAGTGCATAGAGGTGAGAGGACACAGTTGTGTATGGTCAGAGGTGCTTAGGGTGATTGGGTGTAAAATCTCCCTATTGTGGCTACACAAGCTGGTGGTGTACTCTATGCCTTGAGTGAAGGTACTCCTAACCAAGGGAGTTGTGGGGGGGGGGGGGGGGGGGGACTGGAAGAGTGTGCGTGTCGCCCTTCTATTCATTTGGTGGACTACCTTGTCCAGGATTAGTTTGTTCATCTAATGAGTTCTAACGAGGATAATAACAACAAAAAAGACAGTTTAACAGAAAAGTTAAGCAAAAACAATTGCAGTCTTTAGACTTGTTAAGGTGATGCCAGGATCTGGAATAGGCTCCCTTGGGACAAATGGTGCGATGTGTTCTGGGTCCCAGTTGGCAGTAAAGGATCTTGGGGGAGAATTAGCGGTTTGAAGCTCCAGTCCCAGTGTCTCTAGGAATGAGGGTGCCTCCTCCATTGAGGCAAGCGGGTGTTGGGTACCCTTCTGGTGCACCACCAGGGATCCATTTGTCCCCATCTGTAAGTGATGCCTGCCGATCTTAGTCCGCTGGTGAGAGAGCTGAAAGTTTTACGGCACATGAGGGTGGCTTTCATGAGGTCTTGGAAGAAAGTCAAGGTAGCGCCCTCAAAGGCCAGAAGTGGTTTGACGTTTAGAGAGGACGTGATCTGTATCTTATCATGGACCATTAGGCACCTAAGTATTATGTCTCTGGTCACATTTGAAGGCGCCTTTACTGATGTGGGTAGGCAGTATATCTCTTCAGAGGCCATTTTCTTCACTATAGCGTGAGGTAAGATTGTGGCCATTAGGCGTCTGGTGTAGTGCGGCAGTTCGTCCGGTGAGATGTCTGCCGGGATGCCCCTTATTTTTATGTTTGTGCACCGTTGGCGTTCCTTCATGGCTGTCAGCTGTGCCGTCGTGGCTCTTTGTTGTGCTCAGGTTTGCTGCACTGAGTGTTGGAGCTCAACTAGGTGAGACTGCAGGTCCGTGATATTTTTTTTGGATGCTTGCACCCGGTCTGTGATGGTTTTCATCTCCTTCTTGATGGGAGCAAGTTCTGCCACCAAGATTTTGTGGAAGTCCAACAGGTTGTGTCTGGTGGTTGGAGTCATGTCTGCTGGAGGTTCAGGCTGACGCGAGTGGGTCGCAGGAGCGGTTTTAGGCTGTGTAGGCCGTTAGAGCATGACCCCAATATCCCTGCTATCTGCCGCGTGTTGTGGTCGCTGTGAGCGGCAGCCCATGGCTGGCATATGAGAGGGCTGGTCTGACCTCGGTAGGGTGGCTTCGTCCCACTGTTGTCTCGCCGCATTACAGCTGAATATTGCCTCCAGACCCTGAAGTGTCAGCATGGGGTAGGCCCAGATTTTCTGCCTCCGCTTTGTGGAGGCCACAAAGATTGGCATCTATTGCAGCGTGAGGAGTTCAGGAATCTTGCTGGCAACTTTTTGGGGCTGGATTGGCTTGGGTTAATGAGATTTTCCTTGGATAGTAGGCTTTGCACCCCCTCCCCCCCAACTAAAATGTATTTTAATCCTTTAAGGATGGAGGCAATTGAATAAGTTCTGACCAAAACAAGACGAAAACAAAACCTAGAATTTGGGCTTTATGTCTGTTCAATCATAATTCAATCATAATTAAATCATACTCTTTCATATTACATGTACCCACACTACTTATATATCGATTCAGTAAAAAGGTTTAAGAAATTATTATTTTTTTTTTTTTTATTCTGAATGACATGTTACTGTGAATGTCATAATACTGTTAGCTTTTACTGCAAAAAACTACACATATTTGTATGCTGTGATGTCCCACAGGCAGGGTGACCATATTTTGAAAATAAAAAAACGGGACACCCATAAGCAATACAAAAATCGCAAAAAACCCCCACAAAAACAGAGAAATAAATAGACACTAGAAGTCTTTAAGCTATTCCTGACTAGTGATGTCGCGAACCGTTCGCGAACTTGCCGCGAACCGTTCGTGGCGAACTCCGGTCAACTGACACATCCCTGCCAATCTCCGGCAGACCCTCCCTCCCAGACCCTCCTACTTCCTGGACAGCGTCCATGTTGAAGGCAGCTTCAACATGGATGCTGTCCAGGAGGTGGGAGGGTCTGGGAGGGAGGGTCTGCCGGAGATTGGCAGGGATGTGTCAGCTGACCAGAGTTCGCCACGAATGGTTCGCAGCGAACCGCAGCAAGTTCGCGAACGGTTCGCGACATCACTATTCCTGACCAGAAGTGGCTGTTACAGCTCATCCCCTTCCTCGTACTCAAGTGAGTGTCTTTTCATTTACATTTTGTAGGAGCATGACTGCTGACTCCTTCAATCACCAAATCCCATTACCCTTCCATTCCCAATAAGTAACACAAGACCATGTTAAGTGGGTAAGGACAACGGACACAGCTTTTTTTAAACTAGCACAACCAAATACTGTCAGTTGCTGGTTTTACTCAGCAGATAGGTACATTTTAAACTTCTTCCAGAGCTTCTTTAGCCTGTCCTTCGTCATCCACCAAATTCAGCCTGCGACTCCCCGAGTCTGTCCGGGCATTATTCTTTTACCAAACTTGCTGGTGCAGGAAGCCCGCAGCTGTGACAAAAAAACAAAACAAAGAAAACACAAAACAACAATTACAGAACCGAACAATTGGGGAGTTTGGTTTGGGAAAGACACTGCCAGGCTCCCATTGTTCCCCAGCATAATATGCCCCCGGACAAAAGAAATGCACTGGGGCCCTGTCTACGCAACCACTTATAGGCTTGCCTATTTCAGTTTTAAGATTGATTTGCTGGGCCTATGTTGCCTTAGCGATCATACAGCAGCCCAGAAATGACAATTATTCCCATCATGGCATACCATTTGCAAAAATAGACAACCCAGGCTACTGATGATGTAATTGTCATTATAAGGCTTTCTGTTTTAAAACACTCATATTTGTGTTCAGCAAACTCTCATGAGTAAAATAGCAGCCCCTGTACAAATTTTATGTTGTTTTGGAAAGTTACCGAGTTAAACATAGGGCTTGCAAATTAAATTCTCTGGACTTTCTGCCTGGGTTGTCAGACAGGTTCCTTAAATTATAATTAATACAATCACATAACTATGTATTTTTATATATTATATAAATGTATAAAAATAACATATATATTTGTTAAAATTATATATTTTATATGGATATATAAAATAGCATTCTAAGTGTATTTTGATATATATTAAGGATTTGCCTGAAATTGTGCGAGATGCTTATTTACCTTTTAAAAAGGGACTCCTCACCTTCCCTGTACTGTTCCTGGTCTAGCGATTTGCATGTGGCTACTTCTGGTCACATGCAAGTCACCATCTTGCAAACTTACCTGATCTACACGTGGTTGTTACCTGTATCTGCTGTTTTCCTCCAGATTCACTCGACCGCTGTTCTCTGCAAACGGAATTGGCCCCTCATCAGCTCTCCGAGGCCCCAGCTCTCTGCGGACGGAACTGGAAACACTCTCCAAACCGTAAGATGACCCAACCGTCACGCCACGGTCGCAGTCCCAGTGTCATCACTGTTTAGGTCTATTCCCTGCTTAATCCATTTGCATACAATATTTCATATAATATTTTGTTTCAATATTTGTTTCGTTTCCAAACTCATGAGCGGTTTAGTTCAAATCGTTTGCGAGCTTTAGGGACTTGTACCTTTATAGGTTTTATTATTAATTTCAACTCATTAATATGAACGGCACTTGCATGGTTTCGAAATAACTGCTGGGTCGGGGAAGCGTTCGTATATTTCCAAAGAACGCTTCCCCTTTTGGTAAATTTTACTAAGGGAACATGGAAGCCCTATGGCCGGATAGAGCGTTTACTGCAAAAATTCAGACACTTTTAAACCACAACGGTGGTTCACAAATTCATCCGAAATGGTTCCACACCATGCATTATGGTTATACGAACGCAAAACACTGACCTCTAGCGGTTATTCAAAGTATACAGTAAATTATTGCTCACTTACTTAGATATGGTTGACGTAAAATTAACATTTCTAGAGACTATCTTGTCATCGCAATATTATGTTTGGTCATATGTTTCTTAACTACCTGTAATTATGTCAGAGAATTACCATATATAATCAAGAATTAACAATGTCTGGTTCACTTAATTAAACGTTATTTCTGCATTAAGGTTTTTCGCTCAATTACGCCTCTAAATGCTTGCTTGGTCTATTCCTATACTCATATTGCTAAATCTCGGTTTCTTAACCTAAATCACCTGCAGGTTCAATTCTCATACTGCTTCAAACAAATCAATACAGTATATTCTATGCTCTCTGCATCTATATTACTGCTATTCCACTTCTAATGTAGAACTACTGTTTTCTTGAATCTGATACTATATTCAGGGAAGTCTGGGTCTTGGACACTTAACTGGGGATTAGACGCTATCACTAGTTCTGTGTAGTACGTTACCTAAATTCTCACCTTGGTGTATAATTTCCAGATTTTACTATTGACATGACGTAAAGTCACGATTTTATTAAAGACATGGAGGCTCCTATTATGCATAACTCTTTCTTTATTCCCTCTGCAGCAAAGATAGAGAGAAATATAGATATATAAAAATGAGAAAAAAACTGTATAGTAACATAAGCAACCAATCACATAACAGAGTAAGTGACTATAAAAGGCTTGTGTCTCCCAAGATCCCCCTCTTTCTTGCGAAAACCGAAGACCAGAAATCACAAACCTAACTCATCCACCGGAACCACCAGGAAACCAGATCGGAGCGATAACTTCAAGCTAAAAGGGGAACATAGAAAAAATATGGTAATTTCCAAACTCTAACTGGAATACTCACACAAACAAATCTGTCACTATCCAGCACAGGTATTCAAACCTATAAAAAGAGAATACACAATTAATAAACAAACATCATGAAAAAAATTCATAAAATTAACCATAAAACATATACAACTAACAAACAAATCCCAACCGGAACACTTACCAATACATCCAAATGCCGCCACATCACAAACACCCTCATAACCGGGATGGCGAGTGGGAATAATACTCGTCTCTGTGTCTTCAATAAAATCATGTCTTTACATCATGTCAATAGTAAAATCTGTGAATTGTATTAAAGACACAGAGGCTCCTATTATGCAAATTCAAAGCTGAGCCACCACTTGAGATGCAATGTGATTGTGACAGATCCCCTGTCCATGGAGTATCATTTTTCTTTTATTTGGTTCGGTATACGAACAACCCCATACAGACTGAACAACTTGGCTCGTATACCAAACTATTTACCGAATGGATTGACCACCCAGAACAGTCGGGTGCCACTCATTAACCTGGCTGACCTTGTTTCACACTTTTTGAAACCGCAATCACCAACGTTCTAACTAGTCAGCTGGGTGGCCGTCATTCGTATTGTCAAACATGAGGCAGCAGCCATCTTACTTCACGAACGCGGCCAGCGATGTTTTGTCGTCGTTTGTATGAAACTAAAATCGGCCACTCGAGGGCGCGAACACCGCTGGGACTTCCAGCCCCATACGGGTTTGGTTTAATTGGATTTACTAGAGCGGTGTTCGGCAGAAATAAACTCCTAAACGAGGGGCACACGACTGATCCTCATACGAGGATCCTTTTGTTAGTAAGTGGGGGATGGAATGTATCAGTGCTTGTAATATAGCTGCTAGAACTTACCTGGAACCAGAGTCTCTTCTTTTCTGGCTGAATGGTAGGTATAGAAGGTAGTGTCAGGAAGCAGCACCTATAGTAGTCTTCTCAGGCTTGGTGAAATATAGGGGAGAGAGGAGAAGACACGGATATAGTGTAGTATGTCGAATTGCTTGATATTGATAAAGAAGAATATTGCACTTACAATTTTCTTGGTGTACTGTCAGTGGCTTCTTTGGGGTCAGGGTGTTCTGGTGTCAGTGCCACAAACCAGTATCATCAGTGTATAGGAGGAGAAATAAAAACACAATATAGTGCTCTCTGTATAGTCTGGAATAAAACTAGGAGATATTTTCACAAGCGAGGAGCAAAGGGAATATTGCTCAGTACAGGAAGCGTAGGTGGAATAATCCCCACCAAGGATATCACTTGCGAGTCCTTTTCCTTGTGAGTGAATTCGCTATCTTTATCAGAGATTAATAAAATAAAACAATATAGCAAAAAAACTGTACTGTTAGCAACGCTAAGGTTTGGTTTAATTGGATTTACTCAGGGCCGCACTGGGGAAAAAAATTAGGCCCCGGCATTTTTCAATCAGAGCGGCCCCCGAAGGAGGAGCATGTTGGTTCAATGCGCAGAGCCCTGCTAAAGAGCTGTAGCATTAGAAAAAGGCCCTGTATTTGTTCTGCGCAGCGCAAGCAAATTTAATAACATGCTTGCGCTGTGTTTGCTTTTAAATTGTCTCTGGTGTCTCTACAAGTGGGATACCAGAGGACAAAAGGGCCAGGAAAGCGTATGATGCATGTGTTTGGAGCCTGCTTGTGGGATTGCGTGTGTGTAGAGTGTGGTGTGGTTTTGTGTAAATAGGTCAATTTAATTTGTGTTTGTGGTGTAATATGTGTGGCTTGGGGCAGTGTGTGTGTAGGAGATCTAGTGTGTAAAGGACTCAGAGTGTGTATAGGAGATTGTATGTGTGTGTGTTTGTGTGTAGAGGATTAAGAGTGCATATAGGTAAGGGATCTAGCATGTATCTGGAGCGTAATGTGTGTAGTGGTGCCGTGTGAGGGGTGCTGTAGTGTGTATATATATATTTATATTTGGACTTATTGTATGTGTGAGGGGCGCAGTGGGTGTATGTGAAGGGTGCAGTGTGTGTGTGTGTGTGTGTGTGTGTGTAAGAGGGGTGCTGTGTGTGAAGGTGTTTTTATCTGCCGTCACATTCTAGGTTTCTAAAAAAATTTGTCTGTTAACTCACTGAGGGTTATTTTATTTACTATATATATATATATGTGTGTGTGTGCTGTATATGTGTGGGAGTGTGCTGTGTGTGGGTGCTGTGTGAGTGAGGGTGCTGTCTCTCTGAGGGAGCAGTGTGTATCTGAGGGTGCTGTGTGCGTGTGTCTGAGGGTGCTGTGTGTGTCTGAGGGTGCTGTGTGTGTCTGGGTGCTGTGTGTGTCTGCGGGTGCTGTGTGTGTCTGAGTGCTGTGTGTGTCTG